AGATGCAAAGACTCCAAGCATACTTTCTGCCAATTTTTCGCTTCATATGCTCTCCGAGAACAAAGATCTTGTCCACCTTGTTCTCCATGGTGGAGAACCAAAACAGCACGGTGCCTGTTCATTCACATACTGTTTGCTGAATATAGTGGATTTAATGGTAGTCTTCAAAAAGACGTGGGACCTGTGAACACTATCTTGAGAAAAAGAATGATGGCAGATGTAATTCAGTTAAGTAAGATCTTGAGATGAGGAGATGGTCTTGGATATCTGAGTGGGCCCTTCAATGACAAGTACCCTTAAAAGAAAAAGGCAGAGGAAGAGTTAAGATGGACAGAAGATCAGGAGACAGAAGGAAGGGGAAGAGACAATGTGAGCACAGGGGCAGCGATTAGAGGCCGCCCCCACCCCCAGGGCCCCCAGGAGGGCCTACAGCCACCAGACACTAGGTGGAGGAAACAAAGAAAGGACTCTGCCCTGGGAGTGTGGCCCTGCTGGCACCTTGATTTCAGACATCTGGCCTCCAAGCTCTAGGCAACCGCTAATCTATTCTGTCTTTATGGATCTACTGATTCTGGATATTTCATATAAACGGAATAATGCAATATGTAGCCTTTTATGTCTGGCTTCCTAAATTTAGCATAATTTGCACTGCCTTTTACATTCTTTTTTTTTTTAAGATTTTATTCATTCATGAGAGATGCAGAGACAGAGACAGAGGGAGAAGCAGGCTCCTTGCAGGGAGCCCAATGTAGGATTTGATCCCAGGACCCCAGGATCATGACCTGAGCCAAAGGCAGATGCTCAACCACTGAGCCACCCCAGTGCCCCCATTCTTCCAACTCTTATAAACCTGTTCAACAGTCTCCCAGCTTAATATATATATATTTTTAATCTGTCTACTGCCCCACTTTTGCCAACCTTGATCCCTTTCTCTCTCACCTGGATGTTGCAATATTCCCATACCTGGTCTTCTTCCCTCTAGTCTTGGGGTCTTTGCCTTCACTCTGCCCAGGACACCTGAGGACTGATCCGATCTGCCTACACCTCTTCCCTGAACCTCCAAGTGGACCTAAGACCCACACAGTGTCTCACGGCCAGGCCCACCCCACACATCTCCTCCTACTTGAGAAAACTTCTGGAATGTTAACATGTTGAAGCCTAGTGTTCAATGGGATGGTATTAGGAGGTGGGGCCTCTGGGAAGTACTTTGGTCTTGAGAGTGGAGCCCTCATGAATAGGATTAGTGCCCTTGTAAGAAGGACCCCAGGGAGCTCCCTCACTCCCGTCGTCGTGTGAGGACTCACCAAGAGTATGGCTGTCTGTGAACCAGGAAGCAGGTCCCCACCAGACACCAAATCTGCTGGCACCTGGATCTTGGACTTTCCATCCTCTAGAATGTAAGAGATAAATTCCCATTGTTTATAAGCCACCAGTCTACGCTTGGTTGTTACGGCAACCCAGGCGAAGCCAGCCACTTCTTGAGATGTGATTGACATCTAGTAAATCGCACGTCTTTAGCAGCTCTATGGGGGTGTAATTTGCATACCATATAATTGACCCATCGAAAATGTCCAATTCCACTATTCTGAGTGTGTTCACAAACTTTACACGTATTTAAAATGTACAAGTCAGAATATTTGGGCATGTGTACGTATCCGTGAAATCATCACAGTGATTAAGATCGGTATCCATCACTCCTAAAAGTATCCTCGTGCCCATTTCTAGTCTCTTTCCCCCCTTCCTGGCAACCATTGGTCTGCTCCCTGTGCTAGACCGATAAACCACTTTCAAGAATTTTATAAAAAGAGAATCCTATAGTATGTACTTCTTTTTTGTTGCTGTTGTTCTGGCTTCTTCATTCTGTCTCTACATACATACATGTCCATAGAATTGATTAGACGATGTTTTTCAAGGTGTATTTGCATGATGATGAGATCTTCTGTTTACGTGATGGTTTCTCCACTCGGGCGGGAACCTGATGCAGGGCTCGGTACATTGTCGCTCTGCTGTAGTGAATGCAAAGGCCCAGACAGGCCTGCGCAGGCCTCCAGTATGACTCCTTTCCTGTGACTTGAAAAATAGAGCTCTTCCTTCTGTGTAAAGAGAGCTGTCACTACGGTAATCGTTACTCGACATTTATCGATCAGGTACAATGTGCTGCTGTGGCAATATATTGAAGTGAAATGAACAATTGTCCTAATTCTTAGAAAGTTCCTTCAAGGACACCTGGGGGGCTCAGTGGTTGAGCGTCTGCCTTTGGCTCAAGACGTGACCCCGGGGTCCTGGGATCGAGTCCCGCATCGGGCTCCCCACAGGGAGCCTGCTTCTCTCTATGTGTCTCTCACGAATAAATAAGTAAAATGGTTTTTAAAAACCCTCCTTCTCCATCTGCCTGTGTCTCTACTTCTCTCTCTGTATTTCTTGTGAGTAAATAAGTAAAATATTTTTGCAAAAAAAAAAAACCTCCTTCAAACATAGAAGGAAAAATAGAAATGAAGGCAGAGGGATTCGTGAACTTTAAGGAAATTTAAACATTTGTCCGAAGGCTTCCCTGGCTGTCTTCGCTTAATGGTTTTTAGGATTCCTGTCTGAGGAGTTTAAGTGTTTTTGAGCAAACTGGAGTTATTATGCCTGCAGGTTTTATCTTTGCGGGTGAGTGAGGAAGGGACTGTGTCAAGAAATCTAGCTCAAGCAGCTTCCGAGACATTCCTGGTAGTCACTCCACACGTAATTGTCAGTCTGATGTGGGTTTTTACAGGTCCCCAGGAGGGAGGCAGAAACATAAAAGAGTGCGTTGGTTTCCAGGACAGTAGTTCCTGGTAATAAGGCGACGGTAAAGAGGTTGGATTTCAAAGTCCGATTAGAAATCACAGCTGTGGAATTCAGTGATTGTCACTGAGGATTTAAAGCCTGTGGATTTGGCCTGCTGTGCACAGACAGTGGTTCTTGGTTTTTTAACCCAGAGCAAAATGACAGTGGAGCAGAAAACATAAGCAGCACCTTGGGGGGGTGGGGGTGGGGGAGTGTGCTGGAGTAATGCTCAGATGTAAAGGAGTTGAAAGAAAGCACCAGAAGTGGAAAACCCCAAAGCACTCTTGGCTGACTAATGGAAGTTATTTTGGAATAGTCCTTCACGGTGGGTTTTGTGCCAAAGCAAGGTAACACCATCCATCATGAGCTGAATAAAGCCCTGGTAAAATCAATGGGTCATGGTAAGACGATGGGAAGGTTTATCATTAAAGCCCAGGCCCAAGGGACCTGGGCGAGAATACAGGGTCATGCAGGCCTTCTCAGGGCCTTCTGGGCCCATGAACGACCTGGGATTTGCGTGAAAACAGGGTTCTAACTCTAAGTCTGGGCGGGGGCCTCAGATTCTGCCTTTGAAACCAGCGTGTAGGTGGTGGGCACGCGGCCCGGCCTCAGACCACACTTCGAGTTGCCCACGCAGACTTGAGTAAATGGGCTGCTCTTCCCTCTTTATAAACTGATCCTGAAATCGTCCTGTCAAGCTCTCTGACAAGATGAGTCTGTGGTTAGCAGCCCTGTTCATCTCTGAGGGGCATGGAAGCCAAATTCTGATTCCATCTTGTGCTTTAAGAAAAAGAAAGGGGGGGGGCAGTTTCTTCATTCATGCCACCATGAAAAATCATTTGAGAAAACTGTCAGTTGAGTTGCCTTTATTTTAAGGTTGAAAATACTCGTGCCATGTATTCTACTGATGCTCCTGATTATGGAAAGAAACTGAATTACATCCAGTGTGTCACCTACATGCATCGGAAGAAACCATGGCGTTCAAAAATATTGTTTTAAGCAGAAGGTCTGTAAGAACAGTCACTTTTCTGGTTAAAACTTAAAAACAAGGGGATCCCTGGGTGGCGCAGCGGTTTGGCGCCTGCCTTTGGCCCAGGGCACGATCCTGGCGACCCGGGTTCGAATCCCACGTCGGGCTCCCGGTGCATGGAGCCTGCTTCTCCCTCTGCCTATGTCTCTGCCTCTCTCTCTCTCTCTCTCTCTCTCTCTCTCTCTCTGTGTGTGTGTGACTATAATAAATAAATAAAAATTAAAAAAAAAAAAACAAGGGCCGTCAGATTTGAGAACGATCCTGGGTTTTGAGGTATCGTCGTGGTGGCGTAAGCCACAGATTTTGAAGCAAAGCTACTGGGTTTCAAAAAAAAAAAAAAAAAGGGGGATCCCTGGGTGGCGCAGCGATTTGGCGCCTGCCTTTGGCCCAGGGCGCGATCCTGGAGACCCGGGATCAAATCCCACGTCGGGCTCCCGGTGCATGGAGCCTGCTTCTCCCTCTGCCTGTGTCTCTGGCGCTCTCTCTCTCTCTCTCTCTCTCTGTGTGTGACTATCATAAAAAAAAAAAAAAAAAAAAAGCTACTGGGTTTCGAATCTGGTGCTCCGCTCGCTAGGGACAGTGGTTACCCTCCTGGGAAATAGAGCTGCATTCTGTGGTGTTACTGGATTAAGTGAATTAGTATCTGTAAAGCTCCGAGGACAGTACCTGGCACACGTGCAAGCTGTAGAAACGCTTGTTGAGTATACCCCTAAAACTTAGATATGGGTCGGTGTGGCGGTGCCGTTGATGAAGAGCACGGCTCTTGGTTTCGGCTGATGTCGTGACCTTAGGGTCACGGGATGGAGCCCTACCTTGGCCTCCACAGTCAGCTCGGAGTCTGCTCGAGATTCTCTCCCTCCGTCCTGCCTGTCCCCCACTCCTGCACTCTCTCTCTCTTTCAAATAAATAAATCAATCTTAAAAAAGAAAAGAAAAGAAAAAAATGATAGGCGTTAATGTCACTCATGTCTTCGGGGCCCAGGAAGGCCTGTTTCTCTTCCTCCTGACTCAAGCAGCCTCCCACAGGACTTTCCCTGCAGGTAGGTGGACCACAGAGGGTGGGGAGTTCGGCCAACAGACCGGGAGCCCCGAAACAAATTCATGCAGATTAGGGGTTTTGCTGATTTGGTTGGACTCACAGTGGCCCTTTGGTTTTGCAGTTGGTGATGTATATTGGCCAGGTGGCCAAGGACATCCTCAAGTGGCCACGGCCCCTCTCCCCGCCCGTGGTGAAGCTGGAGAAGAGGGTGATCGCCGAGTACGGAATGCCGTCTACCCACGCCATGGCCGCCACCGTCATATCCTTCACCCTCCTCATCTCCACTAGGGACAGATACCAGGTGAGGCCGCCCGACCGCTCCTCCCCGCGCGCCTCATCCTTGCAGGAGGCATCAGGGAGACGTTTGGTTTCGGACACCTGGTGGCTCAGCACTTGAGCATCTGCCTTCAGCCCAGGGCGTGACCCCGGGGTCCTGGGATCGAGTCCTGCATGGGGCTCCCTGCATGGAGCCTGCTTCTCCCCCTGCCTGTCTCCGCCTCTCTCTGGGTGTCTCTCAGGAATAAACAAATAAAATCTTAAAAAAAAAAAAAAAGGAATTGTCCCTTTTGCGGGACTCTGAGGTTTATAAAATGAAAACTAGGCAGGATGGAAACAAATGGAGCCAGTGACACCCACAACCGTTTCTTGGCAAAGGAAGTGACATATGGGTCAGCATCCAAATCGGGCTGTGCCTCATGGGGAAAGAGACACCCCCGGTAACAACACCCCCACTGTCAGCACGACGTGGACTGTCCCGGGAGCCAGGGTGCGGGGTCTCCCCCACCCCCCAGCCCTGCCACCCTGAGCCGCCCGACGAGACAGCGCGTGATCAGTTCTCTCGGCCTCTGTTGGCAGCAGACGTGAGGCGCTTATGATCCTCGTAAACGATCCCCGGGGGCTGAGATGATCCCCCCAGATAAATCCTCCTGCTAGACTCCCCGGGGCCCGGGATGGGAGAGAGTCGTGCCCCATACTGGCTCCCAGGGGTGCCTCTGCTCCTGGTTGGGGTGCGGCCGCTAGAGATAAAGGCTGCGTGTCTTCTAGAGGACTCTCTAGGTGACAGCAGGTTGATAAATGTTGAAAAGAGAAGAATTTCGCTTAATTAGTATCTGCTTAGATGCCGGTTACCGTCAGACCTTTGAAAAATTAGGTTAGTACCGTGGTAGAGTTTTGTTTGGCCTCCCCGACAGGTTCTCTCCCAAGTCTGCATTTAATTGGAGATGTTTCACCTTTTACTCTCCAGAGAGTTTAGATTTCACGAGCCCCGGCAGTCTTGCAAGTGGATGACGATGCTGTTTCACCTCCTCCCTTCCCCCCTGGAAACACGGGGACAGTCTCCATTCCAGGTGGCGGGGAGCTCAGGGAGTCGGCCTGACGCTGTTGGGTCCTGGCTCTACCCCTGCCGCCTTCTGCTTGGTGACCTGGGTGGAAAGGGGCAGGTCCAAGGATGATGTCCCACTAGGTATAATCTTGTACCGCGACTTACCCACGTGTCACGCCAGCATCACAACCGTCTGAGAGCTCCAGGCCCCACTGAATTAATTTCACGCAGACCTCTGAGCTGCGACGTAGGCAGGGCCTCTGCCCCAGGGGGACACAGGGGCCCTGGGCGGCCCCCAGCGGGCTGCCCTCCCTCCGCCTCCCTCCGCATCCAGAGAGACCTCGTGCAGCAGAAAGGCCCACGTCGCCGTGACTGCGAGGACACAGCGCCAAACACCGTTGACAGATTCGTGTCAAGGCTGCCTGGTGCTTTGCAAAACATTCTCTTCACCTCAGATGATGCAGCAGTTTCGGTCCGAGTCGTTATGAACGTTTTTCCTGTTCAATTTTTAATGATAAATATATTTAGCTCTTGGGGTTGCTTGCTGTAAATAGTTCTAAAGATGATTTATTTCTGTAACTACGTGTTCAGGCCAGTGCCCAAACTCTAATTTCTGAATGCATTAACTCATTCATTTTTGACACTTTTTCTTAAATTAAAACCTGAGACTCTGGTTAGTGATCAATGTCAAGAAAAGACATAGGATCGTGTGTGATTGTGATCACATCTTGCACCAGAAAGAAAGTGCTGGGGACACCTGGGTGGCTCCGTGGTGGAGCATCTGCCTTGGGCTCAGGGCATGACCCCGGGGTCGTGGGATCGAGTCCTGAATTGGGCTCCCCGCAGGGAGCCTGCTTCTCCCTCTGCCTGTGTCTGCCTCTCTCTGTGTCTCTCGTGGATAAATACATAAAATCTTTTAAAATTAAAAAAAAAAGACAAGAACAAACGTGCTGGATGTGGACTCAGAAGATGCAGCTTCTGGTTCTCTTACCCTTTTACCGGCTCTGTGACCTTGGGCGGGTGGGTTTGCCTCTCCGAGGCCGGCCCCCGCGGTGAGGATCGAACCAGATGATTGAGGGGAAAGCACCTTTGTGCCTGATAAAGTCCGATAGTGATGAAAGTGATTGTCGAGGTTCAGAGTTCCGCAGTTGTGGGATGGAGCTGATGATAGGCCCCACGGTATAGGGCCGCGTGGGTGCAGCGGGAGGGCGGGTGTCCGGTGCCACCCAGAGTACAGGCAGCTGTGCGTCCTCTGTTGTCTTCTCGCCACGGAACAGCACGGCGCTAGCGTTTGAGGCCTGTGGGGTAGACCCCTCGGTGTGCGTTTCCACGCAGGGCGTCCCTGTGTTCCTTACGTGACTCCATGGTAGCCAGATTCCTCTGCTGCTGCTGTGACCCACCGGCGGGTGCGGAGATTTAGCAAAGTCTGGATTGTCGCCTGCCCGTCTGCGGGTGAGGGCGCCCATTCCTAGTGTGGGCCGCGGCCCCTGGGCTTCCGTGGGGAGTCGGTTGGAGGGACTTGGTTGCACTTGCGGATGCCAGTCCTGTCCATCCACCCTGCCCCTTGCCACTTGCCCAACACTGTGTACTTCCTACGTGTTACTCTAAGAATAGGTCGAGATAAAAAAAAAATATTTACTAAATCACTAAATTATTTACTAAAACTGTCAGCACCATGTGTGTGGTCATGAGGCTTAAAGCCAAGCTCTGACCCTGTCTGATATGGATGTTAATATGACGTGAGACTTCCTCCCAGGACTGTGGTCCTGGGTATCTCCCTTCCCTTTGCTCTTTTTCCCACTTTCCAAGTGGTTTTATTATTATTTTTTAATTTTTTATTTATTTATTCATGAGAGACACAGAGAGAGGCAGAAACCCAGGCAGAGGGGGAAGCAGGCTGCCCATGGGGACCTGATGCGGGACTGGATCCCAGGACCCCGAGATCGCGCCCTGAGCCGGAGCCGACGCTCCACCACTGAGCCCTCCGGCACCCCCCCACGGAGTTTCAGACCAGAGACTGCAGGTGCAGGAAGCTGAGGTCGAGGCTCACAGGTGGGGGTGTGAGCAGGAGCTAATGGCCTTGTTTTCTCTCCTCCCCCCAGTATCCCTTCGTCTTGGGGCTGCTGATGGCTGTGCTGTTTTCCACCTTGGTGTGTCTCAGCAGACTTTACACCGGGATGCACACGGTCCTGGTAAGTCCTTGTGCTCAGGTCTTCGGGTGACCGTCCCCGCAACACGGTGGCCGGCGGGTCGGTGTGTTCCCCACCCTACAGGCCTCTCGCACTGTTTGCATGTGTGATTATATTTCCTGCCAGGCCAGTGAGGTAAGTAACTATTACTTGCGGCCCCTGCGTGATGACAATGGGTCATTAAGGTAGGATGGAGGAGGCTGCGCTGGGCCAGACCCTCGCGACCCGGAGGCCTGGCTGGCGTGGCACCAGGGACTTGGCCCCTTGTTTTCGGGTTGCTGTACGGATGGTGGTGGGTCTCCACCCTCAGCCGGCTCAGGGGAGCGGGCGTGTGCTGGGCTCCCTGCTTGGCCCTTGCAGAGGCGGCCTGCATGTCCAAGGATCTCGGCTGCACCCCCAGGGAAAGGGCCCCGCTCCTCCGTGGGAAGAGCCCAGAGTCACGGGCTGGCTTCCCTCAAGCTGCCCGAGCCGAGGCAGTGGTGGACGCAGACATGCCTGCATGTAAGGGTCTGGCCTCCCTTTCACGGTCTCCAGGGTCTGGGGCGCTGCCGGCAGCCTGTTAACACGGCCCAGAGCTCTGTTCCGGGGTTCCAAGCCCCAGTGCTGGCCCCGGTCCCCCTCGGGGCGCTACTGATGGTCGTGACTGGCACTAGGAGGGTGTCACTAAAAACCCATGGGTGTCAGTCTCCAGGTGAAGCTCAAAAGACCCCCGAGGGAAGGGCCACCGTCTAGTTTCTCTCCTGGGCCTGGTGCTTGGCGGTCACAAGAAGGGTGGCGGGGAGGGGTGGTGAGAGGGCCTGTGCACAGGAGCAGGGGACACCGGGCAAGCCAGGTGGGGGGCGTCAGAGGGAGGTCCACGGGCGCAACCTGGGCCCCGCAGAAGCTTCGCGGCTGTTTTGGCGTCTCTTTTATCTGGAGCTACTTTTTAATTTCCACAGGCTTGAATAATGATAATTTTAAAAATGATGGTGAGAATTCCGGTCAAAATGCAAAGCAAGCAGCGCGAGGCTGCGGTGGGGAGGGGGGAGGCGAGCAGAGAGCTCGGGGAGCCACCTCAGCCACCTGCAGACACACAGCTCGGCTCGTCCTGTTTTCAAAGTGGGGCGTTTGGCCGGGTCGGAGGTGCTTGTGGGAAGATGACTGAAGCCTCCTCCCTCGGCTGCGGGTGCAGGTGCAGGTGCAGGTGCTCCTATCGGAGCATCTGGCCCAGAAGGAGCCGGAGCTAGGCCGTAGGGACCGCCACCCCCCACCCACTCCCACCCCAGGCTTCTTTCACGCACAGTTTTATTTTATAAAGATCTCGGGCCCTGACTCGGCCCAGTGGCGCCAGAGGCAGGGCCTGGGGTTCAGGGGCCCATGGTTTCCAGCAGCAGAAGGGGGCACTTGGTTTTAATAGAAGGATCCAGTCAATGGATTGGAGTCTGCTTCCTCCAACCCCAGCTCAGCGCCTGGTGGGAGCCCCGGGGGCCCCCCCCCCCCCACCCCCTCCCCCCAGCCCCCCCCCCCGCCCCTGGCTCTCCACCCTCACAGCCCCCAACCCCCGCCCCCGGCTGGCTGCCCGCCCTCGCGGCCCTCTCGGCCCAGGGAAAGCTGCTTGAAAATCGTCCCCGGGCGCCTGCCCCCACGTCCACACCAGCGATTATTCGCCGCAGCTGAGGAGCGACAACACGCGCGCGGCGCTCAGGCCCCGGGTGCTGAGGCTCCTCCCCACACCGGGCTGCGCAGCGGGGCCGCAGCGGGGCTGGGAGCCGCTGCTCAGGGGCGCAGGGGCTCAGGGGTGCAGGGGCGCAGGGGCGCAAGGACGCAGGGGCGCAGGGGTGCAGGGGCTCGGGTGCAGGGGCTCAGGGGTGCAAGGATGCTGGGGCTCAGGGGCGCAAGGATGCAGGGGCTCAGGGGTGCAGGGGCACAGGGGCTCGAGCGCAGGGGCGCAGAGGCGCAGGGGCTGAGCGCAGGGGCGCAGGCCACTGCCCAGGCGGCGCCCGAACCCCCGGAGGGGCCCGACCCGGCAGCCGCACCCTCAGGGCTCGCGCCGTCCGTCCGTCCGGGGCTGCGGGCCGCAAGGCCAGGGGAGCAGGGATGCGCCAGCTCAGCCCTGAAGGCCTCCTGTCAGAGGCAGGGGTTGCCCTGTGACCTCAGGGCCCTGGGGACGGGCCGCCGGCGCTGCACCTGCGGGGTGTCCCCGTCCTGCCGAACCAGCTGGGCCGCTCTGGGGAGGGGGGGTCCCCGAGCTGGTGCAGCAGGAAGGTCGCCCCCCGCGCCTCCTCCCCGGCCTCCCGCAGCCAGGTAGTCCCCAAGCGCAGGAACCCGAGTCTTAAAGGTGCCCGAGGGCTGCTCTGGCACCACGGCCAGGATGTGCTTAGCTGTCTCCTGCACGGGGAGGGGTCTCCAGCTCCTGCCGGTGTGAAGGGGGACACAGGTGGCCCCACTGTGAGCCGCAGCCCTCGGGGACGCCAGGGGGGCCGGCCTTTGAGGGAAGTCAGTAGTGCTCATGGAAAACATGGAAATCAAACACCGCAGCTCTGGTGGGCCTCGAGTTGCTGAAGCCCCCCCACCCCCGCCTGGGGCCGCGGCCTCTAGCTTCTGTTCAGGATAAAAAGTCCGTTATTACTCGAGCTGATTTTTGTGGAAGTCTTACGTTTCCCATAGTGAAAACTATCCTGACCGATGATTCATAGAAACCATTTTCATGTGTGTATGATTTCATGTTCTCTTGAAACCAATTGCAGCTGAAGGGGGGGCGCGGGGAGACAGGGTCGAATGTCTTAGAAGGACTGGGGCCGCTCACCGGCTCCATGCGGATGCGGTTGAGTAGTTAAGCCTCTGGAAGAGCCAGAACCAGGGTGTCTCTGAGAGTGCGCCCTGTCCCCTCTGGGGTACCACCATTCGAAGAACCCCACAACCTCTCAGAATCTTCATTTCCAGAGGTGAATCCTTGATGGCCATTGGACCAGTGAGGCTCAACAAGCGGAACAGGTCTCAGAGCACGCACAAGCCCGCAGAAGCCACCCCCGTGGGCTGCAAGGGCCGTGCCCCAAGAACTGGGACTAGAAGGACAACCCAGTGAGGTCACCACTACTGAGAACTCCCAAACCTATGAGGTTCTCATCTGCACGAGTCAGGGCTCCTTGAGTAAAAATGATAGACGCCAACTCAAACTCATTTAAGGTTCGAGGAAAAAGTATTGGTTTTTACATCCGAGCCATAGAAAGGGCAGAGGTGCAGGTCGCCATTGGGAGAATGGGACCTGAGGTCCAGATGTTTGTTGGAAGTCTCCCGGCTTCTTCCTAAGCTTCTCCCTCCATCTCTTCACATGGTGGGTCCATGTTCTTGGGCTGCCTTCTCTCTGAGACTAGAGCCTGGGAGCTCTGGGCTTAAATTCTTTGTTTTGTTCCTGAAAGGATTGTAGTAAGGAGAATTCCAGGCAAGTGTCTAATGGCCTGGCCTGGACAATGAGCTCATTGCTGCATCGCACGCTGCCGAAGGGTGCTGAGCACGGCAGGTTGGTCCAGTGAGTCAGGAGCCAGCCTCTGTGAGCCGGGGCTGTGATGGGCAGTGGTGGTTAGGGTTGGGGTTACGGTTGGCCTGTGGGAGGGGCAGTTCTCCAAAATGAAATGGATCTGCTGTCAGAAGAAGAGGGCAGACCAAGCCCCAGTGGTATCCTTTCTACATTGACATTATTGCATTTTCCTGCTCTTTCAAGGACTCAAAAACCGGGTATTATACTCGTTTATGTGGGGAGGGGAGGATTAGAGCAAATCAAGATGGTTTCATACTGGTTTTGGTGCCTGAAATTAATCAGCTTGTACAGAATTTATTTTTAAGTCTTTTGACTGATAAGGTAACCGTCCCTAATATGCGAACAGCAAAATTAGCCCGAGTTGTTGTTGTTAGATTAATGAATGGTCGTTCCATTATTTTGAACTTGAATTAGCTGAAATGCTGTTCTATTTTATTGTCGTTCAGTTGTTTGATCTGTGGATAATTATATAGATACTGGGTTTTATTTGCTTACTCATTTATTTTGTTCCCCTAAGTATTTGCTTTAGTTTTGGTTGCAGTTGGAGAACGTTGAAAAGGCTTCTCAAATATTAAATTATCTGCATCCCATACAAAACTGTGTTCTGGCTTTGGACTAGAGCAATGTCATTGTGTTTTTTTCCAAGTTCTTTGAAACTACTTAAAAAAAAAAACTTACTTCAAACTGCCCTTCTTAATATGGAAAAGAAAGCTAATTGTAATATAAATTAAGGCCAGCCAAGTCTTACTTTCTGTTGTAGGATAAGTTAGTTACTGAGATAAAAAGGGAATTTGGTTGTGTTTGTGAGCGCCACGTTATTATGCACATTGTTCTTTCTTTACCTTAGAGAGACATATTTTTATCCTTTTATTAAAATAGAGGAGGGGCGCCGGGGTGGCTCAGTGATGGAGCATCTGCCTCCGGCTCAGGGCGTGATCCTGGAGTCCCCGGATCGAGCCCCACGTCGGGCTCCCTGCATGGAGCCTGCTTCTCCCTCTGCCTGTGTCTCTGCCTCTCATTCTCTCTCTCTCTGCGTCTCTCATGAATAAATAAATAAAATCTTTTAAAATTTTTAAAAAATAAAATAAAAAATAAAATAAAATCTTTTTAAAAATAAAATAAATAAATAAAATAGAGAGGGACACCTGGGTGGCTCAGTCAGTTGAGCACCTGCCTTCAGCTGAGGTCATGATCCCAGGGTCGGTGATCCAGCCCCACATCCGGTTCTCTGCCCAGTGGGGAGCCTGCGTTTCCCTCTCCCTCTGCCTGCTTAAGTGCATTCGCTCTCTCTCTCTCTCTCTGTCAAATAAATAAATAAAATCTTTAAAAAAATAAAATAGAGAATTATTTCTGGTTTCCAAGGTAATAAAGGCTCACAGTAGGACATTCATCCTCTGTGTTTTTTTTTTTTTTTATTTATGATAGTCACAGAGAGAGAGAGAGGCAGAGACACAGGCAGAGGGAGAAGCAGGCTCCATGCACCGGG